CAACAATTTAAAGTTGTAAAGACTAAGGCTTTAAAGCAGAAATAGCTCGTAGCATTCTGTGTCCTTGGAACCACCCAGTATAGAATCTTTGGTGTTTCCTTGTTTCCATTAACAGAGGTGTCTCTGTCAACATTCTTTGTTTTTTTGTTTTTTTAACTTTTGAAAAGTTTATTTAGAGAGAGCGAGAGAGAGTGTGTGCTAGAGAGCTGGGGAGGGCAGAGAGAGAGGGAGAGAGAGAATCCTAAGCAGGCTCCATGCTGTCAGCGAGTTTTATTAATTTAAGTAATCTCTACACCCAACATAGGGCTTGAACTCAGGACCCTGAGATCAAGAGTTCCAAGCTCTTCTGACTGAGCCAGCCAGACACCCCCATCAATTTTTTTCAATGAATAGTTTTCATGTTCTTTTTAATGGTCACAGAACACTCTAAAATTACGTACAACTAAAGGTCTTTGCCAAAAAAACCCACTTTGAGCACTTTTAAAGGGTATTTCATATTTCATACAAGTATGAGGAATATATTCTCAAAGTGCTTTGGAAAAAAATGATAGTCTGGTAGGACTAGAAGTTGTTGGCACAGAAGGAAACTATTTAGATTTTTTTTTTTTTTTTTTTTTTTTTTTTTTTTTTTTTTTTTTTTTTGTCTTTCATTGTAAATTAAAGAGTACCTGTAAGCAGAAAATAGGGAGCAAGCAGGCCCATGTTATTTTCTTTTCTCTTGCCTTTTATATTTTGGTATTTGGTCCAAGCCAGTCAGAGTCCATGGAGAAAGTAATTGAGGCTACCTCTGCAGCTAACTTTTGGCTGTCTAGATCTATGTTCCAGTGGGGTGACAGATGTAAAAGTTTTGGAAAATTTTAGCTGCAAACTTGGCCTTTTTTTTCTTATCCATTAAAAAAAAAAATGTGAGTTGCTTTGGGGTAATCATACGTCCACTTTCACCAGAAGCATTTAAGCAGTGGTAGGGTAATACTAACATTGGCATTTATATTATGTCATTTCATCTTGATATCAACTCTTTGAGATTGGAACTATTAGTATTGCTATATTGTGTTCACATGGGAAACTAAGGCTTAAGAGAGGTTAAAAAATTTGGGTGTGTTTAAAATTGGTAAGTAGCAGAGATGGGATTCTACCCCAAGAAGGCTTGAGTCCAGGGCCTACGTGCTAACCATTGTTATATATTGCCTCCTTCTTCAGAGTATATAGGAGGGGATTGTTGTGTGCTTGGGAGTTTGCAGTAGAAGGGCCTTCAAAAGCTTTTCAACTGGTAAGAGACTAGGACTTTAAGCCGGGTGACATTATGTCAGGCCTACCCTGGTCCTTATATCTACATTCCTCCGCAAGGGCCTTCTATTTGCCACCTATTAGTTTGGCTCCGTACCCAAGGCTGATTATCACCTAAAGCATGGATCAATGAGCTTCAACTTTTAGCATGCATCAGTCACTTTGTGCATGTGTGTGGTAGGGAGCACGGGGTGCATTTAAAAAAAAATTCAGATTCTTGGGGTGCCTGGGTGGCTTAGTTAAGTGTCCGACTTCGGCTCAGGTCATAATCTCACGGTTTGTGAGTTAGAGCCCTGCATCTGGCTCTGTGCTGACAGCTCAGAGCCTGGAGCCTGCTTCAGATTCTGTGTCTCCCTCTCTCTGTCTCTGCCCCTCCCCTGCTCTCTCTCAAAAATAAATAAAAATTTAAAAAAGAATTTAAAAAAATTCACATTCTTATGGTAGGGTCAGAATCTGTTTCAGTTTAGGAGATAGTGTGACAGTTATTTAAGCAACCTTAGCACTTCCTGAAGCTGCCACACAGTTCACAGTATCAGGTCATCCTTGTTCCAGATCAATGTCCATCTTTTGGTTTAGGTACTAAGACTGCTTTGTTTTCCAAGATTCTGCCCTGGGTCTGTTAATTGCATTTCTTCCTTAATCTTTTCTTGAGACTCTATTCCTGTAACATGCCTGGTTCTCTAGTTTCTAGAATTGGACCTGGCATCATGCCTGCCAACCTTTCTTCCGGTGATCAGGTTCTGCCTGTTGGCAGGCTTATCTGAACTGTCACATGGCTTTGGTTTCCAAGTATCTTCCTGCCTCTCCTTTGCTGGGCCTTCTCCATCTGTTGAAATTCCTCCATCCCTGCCCTACCTCCTTAGCTGCCCTGCTACCTTTTGTTGTAGTTGGAAATACCTCCTGCTCAATTTCGTAGGTAAAGGTCAGAGGGTTTCCAATCTACCATTGTCCTGTCTTCCCTCTTCGGGATCTCTGGTTCAAAGCCATCTCTGCGGTGAATGCACCTTGCATTCCTTTATGGTTTGTGGCTTCTTCTAGCTTCCTTTGTAGTTAAGGTATAGATTGGTAAAATGTTGGATGTGATGGGTTATTTGCCTTCGCTGCTTGCTTCCCTTGCTCTGAGTGCATTCCTACCACTTGGGCCTGTGTAGTCTGGAGCACAGAGCACTACCATAGATGATGTGAGGTACCTAGTCATCATCAGACTGTGATGCTGGTCTCCAGGGAATGACAGTGACAGTAGACAGCATCCATTCATTCATTCATTCACACATCCACTTCACAAATAAATATTGAGCATCTAGTGTGTGCTTCCTACAAGTACAATGCCGACGACTGGCAACACAAAATGAACAAACATGATTTGCTCTCAAGGATTGTAAACTCTAGAGGGAGGAAGTGAACTATATAAATTCAAAGGAGTGAGGTAATCCTTATGTAGGAGTATGTGGAGTGCCATGGGAGCACATAGGAGACAGATAACCCAGCAGGGGATGAGTGGTACCCCAGGGGTAGCTTTCCAAAAGAGGTGATGCCTGAACTTGAGTTTCAAAGATAGATTTTTACCTTAAAAATGAATTACTTCAGGGGAAAAATTAATTGCTTCAAAACCATTCTCTTGTGTGTGTGTGTGTGTGTGTATGTGTGTTTTATTTTATGTGCTTGTTTCTTTTTTGTGACCTACTGTCCCTATCAGGCATGTGTCCCTTTGGCGTTTGTAGTCTCTGTGCCTGTTATTTCTTTGTGTAATAATTTGTATCCAAGAGGAAAAAGTAGCTATTTTGTGTCCTTAGAAGTTCTGCTTTTAAGGCTCAAAAGAAAGAGGTGAAAAGTCAAATCATCTAGATTAGAAGCACTTCTGTTTTTGGGTGACTGAATGGCTCAGTCGGTTAAGCGTCCGACTTCGGCTCAGGGCATGATCTCACAGCTTGAGAGTTGGAGCCCCCATGTCGGGCTTTGTGCTGACAGCTGGAGCCTGGAGCCTGTTTCAGAGTCTGTGTGTCCCCTTCTCTCTGCCCCTCCCATGCTTATGCTCTGTCTCTCTGTGTCTCTCAATAATAAACATTAAAAAAAATTTTTAATTAAAAAAAAAAGCACTTTTGTGGTATCCCAAATTAGGACCTGAAGATTTTTGTATACTCAAGAGAATTTTTAGCAGGAAACAAGGACAAATTTGCATATGAAATGAAAATAAGTAGTTATTGCAGTAAAAAATATGTAGATCAGATTTCTAGAACCTGCATTAGTCCAAAACAAATGAGACTACACAAATTGGGACAAAATCTTAGTTCTTAAATATTGCTGTCAGTATCCAAAGTATTATCTCTCATCTTCCAAAAGTATTTACTTTTAGGTAAAAATTTTGCATTCCTGTTTTGTGACATTCTAAAATTAAAAATAGGGTAGGATTTTACATATTCCAATGGGAAAACACCTACATTCAGTATTTTAGTAAAGTATTTGCTTCCTTACCAGTAAATTAAAAAAATTTTTTTGACAGTAAGTCTCTCTGAAATATAATCGAAAGTAGTTTGTAAAGCAAGTATGCAGACCAAAGTATGATAAGGATCTCTTTTCTACAGCGTGCCCTATATTAAAAAAAAACGAAAACAATCTAGTTACTGTTCTTAAATCATATTTGTTACTTACAATGTTAGCAATGTTAAATTAATTCTGTTAGATGTTTGCCCAGCCCCAAACAAACATCTAAGACTTTTAGCTTCACTTTTTTTTTTTTTT